TTTTTTATATGATGGTATGTTTAGGAGGGTTAGAGCACTTTGGCAGTACAAGTCTGGTACACTTTGTGTATACATATTCATATGTACCGTCGGGTACATACTGTAGTACGTGATACGACAACGACCCCCTTCAGCGCAGTGCCAGTGGCAGTGGTGCCCTACCGTCTACTGGGCCAATCGGCTACGACCCATCACACATTCAGCATTGCTGCACATGCTGATGGCAACATTTGAACTTTGCCATTTTTTGCAAATGTTCCAAAGTGACCATTGTGTTGCTTTTACATATTTTTTTACTTTATATCAATACATGACACGATATGTATTGTAATTTAAATTAATGTGTAATCATAAATGTATTATAATAATTCATATAAATAAAACAATCTTATAATAGCTATATGATAGTATAGGGTAGAAAATAGTAAAGGTCAAAAAAAGAGCACAACGGTGTATATTTTAATTATAGTAATCCCTACATTCCATTTTAATATATTTTGCAACAGATGAAGTTGTTGGACATCAACAGTTTTTAAAGACATGAACAGATAATTAAATGAACCTACTGTGAATAAATTACTCTAATACCACCCATATTATTTATTGCCAGAGGTGTGTGGGAACTTCATACTTTGAGAGGAAGTTTGTTGCAAGATAGTAATGTGGTGCAGGAAACCAGTTTTCCATCCAGTAAAGAAAAGCGTATACTATTACTGTTTATAAAATATACTCTTACTCCTCTACATATAAATTCGATGCTTTAACACAGATCGCTGTACATAGTTCTAGTTAGACCCTAATGGATTCATTGTCCATGTCTAACTAGCTGTATTAGCATAGTGATGCCATGAGTCTGCACTAAACACATCCTTGAAGATAATGCTGTCAATCACATAATTCACAGTTATCAGGTTATATAGTTGCACACTGAATTGTCATAATCACAGTAAATCACTGGCTATCAAAAAATGTATTCTGAGATATTGTTTATAACCGGCTTTGTTTTGTTAGGCAATGATATTAGCCTGCCACGTGATTGGACTGCTGCCACGAGAGTGAGCAGTTCATCTCGTAGACCACTGGACGAGACAGGACTAGAAGTTGTCGCCTGCCGGCGTAACATTATGATGGGCAGTGAGTTTAAGTATGACGAGGGGCGAGGTCTTCGCGTACCCCCTCTTCCTACAGAAATTTGTTGGCAGTAAAAATGCCAGCAAGTTCTTCTGCACAGATGACATGTGCCGCTATTGGCCGTGGCACCAGAGAAAGGCTACCTCCTCTGAGGAGGTGCGTGATTTTGGTCATGCATATGAAACATTTCCTGAGTGTTATGCATGCCAATGCACATGCGTGGCATTGGCAGGTATGTTATGAACTTATAATGGTAGTAAATATACAGCATATTTACATGAAAACTTATTTATTAATTTCAGCCTATTGTCATCAATGATCATAATTATCTTCAAGGTATATCAATGTTAAAATTTGATTGCCGTCAGTGAACAAGTGCATGTTTTTTTGCAGACTTTATTTCTAAATAAACATCATTTCTATTATTTGATGCATTTTATTTTACATAACAACTAATTACAGGTGTTATGGAGTGGGAAATGGCAGGAGGGTGCCGCTGCCACCACAGGAGAAGAAACTGAGTAGTGCCTTTCCTACATGTCACGCTTACGGAGCACGCACAACTCGCTTCATGAGTGAAGCAGGTGATTCAAAGTTCTAGCCGATGTTTACTATTAACCCCAGTTTACAAGTGGTAGCAATACCATGCATTCATGTAATCCAGTCATACAAGCTTATTATCACATTAATTTTGTAAGCCGTGTATGCACAGGCTCTCAAACTCCAGGCATTGTCATGAGTACTGTTTATATCAGTAGTGATTAAAAGCATAGCTATTTGTATTGTTAATAATATTAATTATTTTCGTAAAGTTTTACTTTCTATACTGCCTTCATTGGCAGTGTTGTGAAAACTAAATAGAATGTTTGATTTATTTGGTACATCAGGAAACTATTATGTCGGCCAAGCATTGATAATAGTTTGTAGCATGAATGTTTTCAAATTGGTACTACACAAACCCCCACTGCCCCCCAAAGATTGACCTACTGCAGTTAAATTCTGACTTGATGCTTTTCGTGTTTTTATTAGACGAGTTCGTGCCATACTGTTTCTGCGATAAGAACTGTTCCACTGTACCGCAGCACCGCTCCACGGTTGCTTGGCAGAGCAACGCGAAAGTGTCAACAACATCGGAGAATTTGAACAACATTGGAGGTATTTTCAAATGCCTTTTATAAGACAACGCGCAGTGAAATCGGAGGAACTAGAGTTTATTTTGTCATAAAGTAGTGTGATTATGCATGACACGAAGTATTTCCTAGTCTAGTACTGGAGAAATTAGCGTTTGGATGCGCATAGTGCGGCTTTAAAGCGAATTCGGATATAATGCGATAAGTCGTTGGACCCCTTTTTTGCTCTTATATAGCCACTTATATATATAACCCCTATTTAGTGCGACCTCGCTTTTTTCGCAATGACATTTTATGGACCCCAACCATCGCGTTAGAACGTGCTTACACTGTATGTGCACATGTGCATACGCAGATACATTTCCATACCAAGAAAGAATATTTCAGCTTGAAGCAGATATTAATATTTCTAAACAACAAATTTTTCAGAATATGGAGAAGTTGGAAGCTTCCCCGGCTGACCTTCAGCATTGGTTACCGTTAAGTCTCCTTCGCATAGACTCTGGCGACGAAGTCGAAGATCTATGGATTGAGGAGATTCAGGCAGCTGCGAGGGGTATAAACTAATACACATATCGTGTGAGAGTACCATGTGGATGTTTTTGGTTTTTAGCTCATCTGACATAGTCAGATGCAGCTTGTAGAATCGCATGATTGTCGTGGTGTGGTGCGTGCGTCCGTGCCGTGGTCGGCCATCCGTCAACAGTTGGGCACAAATCTAACGGCTCGACGTACGGATTCGAAATCGCGGACGTAGGGGATAATCCGAAAACGAGTTGGGGATGTTGAAGCTGAGGGTCAAAGGTCAAGAGGTGTAAAAGAAGGGGGAACATTCCCACCTTAACTTAAGGTATAGGGAGGAAATGCAGAATTGCGGCACAAATCTAAACGGCTCGACCTATGCTCTAATGTTCGGTGTATGTGTATTGGGCAGGAAACAATCACCAGTGCGAAATTGGAGGTCAAGGAGAAGGGCAGTGGGGAAAGGTGCAGATGTCAGACATTTTGAGACATGGCCTACGGACAGAGTGGAAAACTGACCTACCATTTTTTCACTTTATTGAAAGGACCATAAAATGTGCTTTCCACTGACGTGGCTTTAGCAGTAAGTGTCTGATAACATTTTCAACCCTCAAGAGGAAGGTTAACATGGATTCCTGAACTGCCTCAATGATGTCACAGTGTTCTCTGCACATCCATAATCTAGAAAGCCAATATTTTACAGATAGCCCAACGGGTACAGCACAGGATTACGGCGCAAAGGTCCTTGGATCAAATCCATCAGTTTTTTTTTATTTACCTCTTTTCTGTATTTTCTATCTTTATTCATTTAACATTTTTCCCAATTAACGCAAATATTTACTATTTTATTTACAACAATTTTTTTAATAGGGTTAGGGTTAGGTCACAATGCACCATAAAACAGGAGTTTCAGGCACGCCGATTTGTATCAACCAATGGGATTTGGGAGGTATGCAGAATGCAGAGGTTGCTGAAATGATGTGTACGCAACTGGTATCTGGCATATCTGCGCCTAACAATGATGTTCACTACGCACACGATGCAATGTTATGTTTATACCGTAGCAACAGACTCAGATGAGCCCATTTGCTCTGTGGCACTTGTTTTCATAGACGATTGACAGAAACGTGAGTTTCTTGTACACAGTGTATAGAGGTCACGTCTGTGAGAAATAGTAATGTTAAGTCTAATTTTGTTTCTAACAAAGGCCCCAGTCTATAAAGGAACTTTTGGCATTCCTTTGATTGGTGAGCATACATTAAAGCCACCACTACATAGCAGACACCTGTCTATAAAAGACACTTCCGCGTTCTCCATCGAGTGGCGGTTTGACTGTACACACAGGCAAAGCTGTTAATAAACGCATTCTCTCGGTACATCGATCATCAGCTGGGAGGCAATCGAGCGCAAATGAAATGAAATCTGATAATGTTTTGCGTTAATTGGCAGGCGAGCGGACGTGTCGACCATGGAGCTAACTGCAGATAGCAAGCTATATCGCTCTGCGGATTCGACACGTGCTGTTTCCTGCTGCTGTCCTGATGTCACACGTACAGAAGCTAGTCAGCAGTCCGTACACAGACTGGAGACTGTCGACAGTCGACAAGTGTGTTTTGGCAGAGACCTCCTAGATTGTGTCTGAAGCCATCATTCTCTTTATTCAATATGCTGTCTTGTAGACCCCCAATATCAGGGATTTTTACTGATATTGTTTTTTTCCATTTATTGTAACAGTAACATGTTAAATATGTGAGTGCCTGAATTAACCGTGTAAAAACGATTAATGCTTGAAGTTCATGCAGCATATAAACGCGTAGATATTTCATAGTAACATATTTTTAAATATTGATACGATCAAAATTTAGGAAGAGCACATTTCTCCTTTGTTATGTTTCACACGTATCGGTCGTTGATGAGTTCTGGACACATGCAAAATTGATGGGGGAATAATCAAACGTGTCATTGTTTTGCGGTAGGTCGGAAGACCGGTGTATCAGCTGACGTGTACAATGATGCTGTCCACCATCTGTGAAGTCGTCAGCACAGAAACAATGACGCGCCATTGAAAGCAATCTCTACAGAGAAATCTAGCCAGGATTCATGGAAGGTGAATGTTGTCCTCTGTTATATGCTACCTAGTTTTTCATTATTTGTATTACATATTACATTGTATATATATATTAGCATAGTAATGTGAGAAGACGTGTTATGTTGTGCATTCTCATAGAAAACAAGGTTTAAAGGAATAATAGGTCCATTGATTATGCAATGTTGACGAATGCTAGAGTAACTGGCACCTTCATTGTGTAGTTAATAAGTACGTACTTACCTTATAGCCAAATGCGTATTAGTTTGTCCAATATCACTGCTGGTTACATTACAAGCAAGATCTAAAATCGGTTGTTGATATTCATTTACATGCCGTAAATGTCATCAGGGAGTCGAGCGATAAGTCGCCGATGACGTAAACATTTTGCGGCCGTATGTTTTGGACGCCAGATGAAATGGAGGTGTCAGTGGTGTAACCACGGCCACGGACTAAACATGGAAATGGAGTAAAACACACTTACTAATCACGGACGTACATGGACAGCCCTGACAAAAAGTTCCTTATTACGAGCGTCCGTGTTTACGAAATCACTGATGATAGCATTGCGTACGGCGAGCATGCGTGCGAAATGTCCGGTGCACTAAAAATCTGTATCACACCCTCTTCGCAGTCAGCGGTTTGAAAACTACACACGGGTGCAGTTACTCTAGCATTCGTTAACATTGCATAATCAATGAACCTATTATTCCTTTAAATACTAAAAACATACTTAGGACAAATATGACCGCAACAGATAAGCCACTACGATAAATCAACTCAATTTAAATTAAACTATATTGACTTACATAGCTAACATGAGGAAAATACAGCAGATTGAAAGTTTCAAAATAATATTTTATAGAATCTTACAAGGATGAATGCAAGAATGCACATATATATATATCAAGATTATATATATATATATATATATATAGACTAGTGAATTATATAATTAATAGTTAATAATATGAATTAAGCTAAACCGTAGTTTTTCCATGAGACAGCATGAGCCATCCGAATTTTTCAGTCACAGCAAGTGGCAATATTTCCATGTATCCCACACAAAAATGTGAAAATATTCCCGGCCCTAAAACGCTCATATTAATAATAATAATGTATATTTTCCATAGTATATTTATATAGCTCGGATGATGTCTCTACCAGCTCGGATGGTACACATCTCCACGAGGTCGAATGATATGCGTCTCCACGACTTCCTATTCTTCTGCTGGTGATGGTACCGTGCTTTGGGTTAACACGTGTACGAACTGCCAGAAAATAGTAAAGTGAATAAGTTTCATGTTAACTGTAAGTGTTAGTGAGGCAGTAACTGTCATAACTTCAGTATATAAGCCTGGCGGCAGCAGCTTCTGGTGCGGACAGTACTGCACTTTAGGTTGGCACGTGTACAAACTTCCAGAAATTGGTTAGAAGCTTTTTGTAACTGTGTGTTGTGTAACTGCCATTTGGCATGTGATTATTGCTAAATTATACAATTTCTATGTCTTTTTTTGCCAATGGCCATCAGCTGTATGGCTGCCTTCTCGCTATCATGCTACCAACAACTTTCCTTTTTTTTATGAATGCAGGTTATTTTTAATTTGACTCATAAGTTAAATAATGATGTGGTTTATTTGCTTTATTATATTCATTTTAATGGCTATGATTAACATAGGTTGTGCAATCCAAAGATATGGATACCAGGCCTGGCCGTGTGTAAAATGAACGCGAGCGTCATGCCGCTCTCGGATAGACTCGGCCCAAGAGCGATTAGGCACGGGGAGCGACGCTCCCACGAGTATAGCCAGCACTGATAGATAACATAAATGAGCCATTTTCTTTTATGTTTAATACGCTATTATATGTATATCTTATTATACTTTTTATTTATTTTTTAGACAATATAAGCTTTCATTGTATTAAAGTGTCTACGTCACGAATCTCCTGAAATTTATAGTTGAAACCTTAATAACACACAAATATACTACTTGCTGGTGCTCGAAATTCGTGACGTAGACAGTTTAACTGATGCCAGTATGAAGGTGGCCCTAAAATTTTTACCTGGTTTTATTATTGCTATGTTTGAGGTGGATGTATATAATACACACAATCGATATATAATATAATATATAAATGTAACAGGAATGCTATGTAAATAAATTGTTTGTGTATTATTAAAATATGGTACTTGA